ACCTCTGGGAATGGAGGCTGAAGTCAGAACAGCTGTTACGGAGGCGCCAGAGCCACAGCCCCTCCCTCTTGCCCCGCTGGAGAAGGCTGGAGACTTGTCTCTGGCAGAGGCATCACGGGAGGTCTCTGGATGGGCTCGAGAATAGGCCGAGGGGGTGGCAGGACCCAGCTCTGAGAGCGCGCGAGTGGCTTGCACCTGATCGCTGATACCCTCGGTGGCCCTGCATCTAGACCCACTCAGTTGGGGGCTGGAGGAGCTTTCTCTGGACGCTCTGATGAGTCCAAGAAAAAAGACCTCTGAGGCCGGTTGTAGTGATGCGCACTGCTGGGACGGTCCTCCACAGGCTGGGACCGCGCAGGCCCAGGTGCAGTTAGTTCCACCTGACGGCAAGGCACGAGGGCATGCGCCTGTGGTCCCAGTGACGAGGGAGGCCGAGGCCGGAAGGCCACGAAGCCACCACTGGCCTGGACAGCAAAGCGAAAGCCTGGCTGAAACAAAGACCCGGCCTCGGTGGTGTGTGCCTGTAGTCCCCACTGGGAGGCACCCAGCCTTAAAATAAATAAAAAGATCTAAAGATCCTGGGGCCGGCAGGTGGCGTGGTGGTTGGAGTGCTGGACTCCCACACGGCCAAACCCAGTTCAAGTCCCGGACCTGGCAGCTTGTTTTCTCACTTTCCCTGTCTGTCTCTCTCTGGTCAAATAAAAATAATAATGACAAAGTTAAATGAATAATACTTTAAAAAAAAAAAAAACACAACTAAAGATCCCAACAGCAAAGTTCCCTGAACAATGCCCTAGCCAGCTTATTCCGGAGTGAATACCACAGTCAGAAAGTTGCTGGTTCTTTTTGAAGAATGACTTATATCATTTTACTTAATATAATAATTATTATTATTTTTAATTTACTACAGTCCACATGTCATCAGAGAGGGAGAGAGAAAAAGCAAGCCACCGGGTCCGAGACGTGCACAGTGGCTGGGCATGTGGGAGGGCAGCCTTAACCACCACGCCACCTGCGGGGCCGAAAGCTTCTAGCTCTAACAGCCAAATTATGGAGTGGGGAAAAGAGACCAGAGAAACCAGCAGAGAGATCAGCGGGGAAATAATGTCCACACACCGAAGGGCCTGAGTCTGGGGGGACCCACGGAGCCCCGTAAACGATAGCCCCACATTGGGCCAGGGAGTAAAACCTGGCCCACATCGAGGCAAAGGAAAGACCCTAAGCTGCTCAGAGAAGAAAGAGGTTTTGCTGAGGATCTAGAAGGGCGGCATCGGGGCCAGGTGGTGTGGTAGTTAAGGTGCTGGACTCCCATGTGATCGACTGCGGTTCCAGTCCCAGACCTGGTGGTTTGGTGCATGTACATGCGTAGCCAAAATCCCAAGAGGGTAATGGAGAAGGGATTGAGGTGTGGCCACCCCCCCCACACACACACAGGTGGATTTTCACTTTCTGTGTCTCTGTCTCTCCAGCGGGCACAGGCAGGCTGTGGTAAAAATCTCCACATAAAGGACATCATCTTAGCAGAGCACAGGAAGCTCGGAGACAGTGGGGCAGTGTCCTCACAATCATGAGGGCAGGGGCCAGCAGTCAGCGCAACGGCTATGTCGCTGGACCCTCATGAAGTCGACTGCAGTTCGAGTCCCGGACCCCATGGCTTGAACTCACGCCAGGCGCGTGTGCGTGCGTGCCCAAGATCCCGAGAGGAGAATGGAGGAGAAGGGATTGCAGCGTGACCATCCCCCCTGGGGGGTGATTTCTCGCTTTCTGTCTCTCTGTCTCTCGCTGTCTTTCTGGCGAGTGCACGTGCCCTATAGCAAAAACCTCACCAAAAAAAGAAAGAAAGAAAGAAAAAAAACTATTGGTATAAGCATGCAGAGAAAAGGGACTTGAAATGTTCTTTTTGGGGCAGGTGATGAAGCTAGGTTTGATTTTTTTTTTCTTTTAACATGATTATTCTATGAAAGAATAAAGCCAAGAATTGAAGCTGAGAATGAAAAACCATGGTGGGACCAGCAGTTAGCATAATGGCTATGTCACTGGACTCCCATGTAGTCGGCCGTGGTTCTAGTCCCGGACGGCGACTTAAACTCACGCCGGGCACGTGTGTGTGTGCGTGCCCAAGATCCCGAGAGGAGAATGGAGGAGAAGGGATTGCGGCGTGGCCATCCCCCCAGGGGGGTGATTTCTTGCCTTCTGTCTCTGTGTCTCTCTCTTTCTGGCGAGCGCACGCGCCCTATAGCGAATACCTCTCAAAAAAAAAAAAAAAAAGGTAAACTCATAGTTTTGAATTTGGAGCGTGGTTTTTCAGGGCAATAAATGATGACTTTTTTACATTTCAGAAATATTATTGCGAAGAATGTAGAAGTAAGGGACTGTGTGGATGGTACCCGAGTCCACAGAATAAGTATTTATTGTGAGCCTCCAGGGAGCATCTGAAAATGGCGTCGTCTTTTTTTCAATGGTCATTCATTTCATGTCAGTCTCCTTCCATGGGCTGGGAAAGGGCTGAGCACACACCACTGTGTACAGCTGTATTCTGGCATTGTCGTTCAGACAGAATTGGGGTGGAGGCTCTTTTTTTTTTAGAGAGTTTTTTTGCTATAAGGTGCTTGTGCTCCGAAAGCGAAAAATCATCTCCCAGGGGGATGGCCACACCATAATCCCTTCTCCATTCTCCTCTCTGGATTTTGAGCATGGACACACATGCGCCAGCATGAAACTCAAGTCTCCAGGTCTGGGACTTGAACCATGGTCATCGATGTGGGAGTCCAGCAGTGTAACCACTACACCATCTGCTGATCCCAGGATGTAGGTTCTAATTGTCTTTACGGGACCTGGATCAGAGTCCGAAGAGGTCAGCCACTGCTGATCGGGGTGGGGACTGCCCAGAGGAAAGGCAGGAAACAGGCCTGGCCTTGACCAGGGAGGGTTCATGTTCGGGGGCTTCCACCTGGTACACAGGGTGCCTCTGCTGATCGTGGTGCGAGACAGCAGGCCTCGGGCTGGGACTCAGGAGGTGGGGACATGCGGCAGCTGCACAGGAGGGCCTGAGATGTCCTTCCTCACCCATTCCCAGAATCCTCTGTAGGCCTCTCCCAAAGGACAGGCCCAGCGTAGGCTCCTCGGCCTCCGGTTGGTCCCGTGAGCAGCAGTCCAGTGTGAGTCCGGCCCATTTGTCCGCATTGGAGACACCGCTGCCGGCTCTGCTTTGTGCTCCTCTGCCTGAGACGCTGGGCCATCGCTGTAGACCATCATCGTTCTTCATCCTTGATTCTTTTTTTTTCCGAGAGGTTTTTTGCTATAGGGCGTGTGCGCTCTCCAGAAAGAGAGAGAGACAGAGACAGAAAGCGAGAAATCACCCCCCCCCAGGGGGGATGGCCACGCCACAATCCCTTCTCCTCCATTCTCCTCTCAGGATCTTGAGCATGCACGCACACGTGCCTGGCATACGTTTAAGCTACTGGGTCCGGGACTTGAACTGCGGTCGAATACGTGAGAGTCCAGTGGTGTAACCATTACAGCATCTGCTGGTCCTAGTTCTCCGTTTTAAAAAACTGCTAAGCACTCAGGGCTTTTCGAGATCCGTTTGCTCCTTTACTTCCTGGGGGCTTCTGGTCATTTCAGTCTGAAGTGTCACTTTCTCCTTTTTTATTCCTGAGTGTTCTCCCAGGATTCTTTTTTTTTTTTGGAGAGGTTTTCGTTACAGGGTGCATGCGCTTGCCAGACAGACAGAGAGAGACATAGAGACAGAAAGTGAGAAATCACCCCCCAGGGGGGATGGCCACGCCGCAATCCCTTCTCCTCTATTCTCCTCTCGGGATCTTGGGCATGCACGCACATGCACCCGGCGTGAGTTTTAAGCCACCGGGTCCGGGATGCGAACCGTAGTCGACTACGTGGGAGTCCAGTGACATAGCCATTACGCTAACTGCTGGTTCCCTCTCCCAGGATTCTTTGCACAGAGCCTATTTCAGCACTTACCCTGCCCTAGGGACTCCAGGAGTCAGGAGGTGCCCCCAAGCGGAAATGTATCTCTCCTCTCTGCTTCTGGTACTCTCTGCAAACGGTATTTTATCTCCACCCCTAGGACGAAGCTGGAGGCAGATTCGTCGCTTTCTCTGGAGAAGGACAGTCGTTGCGTAAAAAGGGAAGAAAACCTTAAGTCGAGACTCTCGGCTGATGGGAAAATAAAAGAATCCATTGCAACCTACTGGCTTTTAGTTACTGGCTCTGACAGGGACGAGACTGTCGTCAGAGGACGCTGTTCCTTAAGGTTTGTTTAGAGTTACTTAGGAATCACCAAGTTTGATCTGCGAGTGGAACAGGACTTGGCAGTTGCGGGCTTGGTTTGGGGAAAGACCGAGAGCTGCCCCTGATCCCGTAGGCGCCAGCTCCTTGCAACTGCACGCTTTCAGCTCGCGGGAGGCTCCACCGCCTCAGTGTCACCAGAGTTCCCTAATTCCTGACAGTGACGGAGGGGATCGAACTGCTCTAACGAGGTGTTCCTTCTCTTTCTTCATTTACCTTTTCTTTTCCCAAATCGATTGCACTTGCATTGTCTTTGGCATTAGAAAAAAGCGGTTTAAATAGATCCATGCTCTATAAATACTGGCCATTCCTTTACTCTGGCTACAGTTGAAGTATTTGAGAAAGGGTGTTATTTTTATTTTACATTCTCTCTTTTTTTTTTTTTTTCCCAAAAGTACAACTCAGAAGGAAAATTTGATCTCAATGAGTGTGCGCTTTTATTTCGATTTCCCGTGGAAATAATTGGCTTCTCAGTGAAAACACCTGTTCTTGGTAAAACACCTCCATGGGGAAGCACAAATGTGAAAGTCAGAATGGATAAATGCTAAATAATAACAAGGAACGTGCTAAAAACGTGCTAAAGACACGCCCCTCTCTGCCTCCACTCCCGGTTTTAATTTATTGTATCCTGCGAGGTCCTGCTGACCCGTCTTTACTTTTGACTAGTACTAGCTTGTTCCCAGACCTTCACTTTTCTCCACCGTGGGATCTTTGACATGCTTATCTAATTACCTTACATTTGTTCCTTGAGAATAACCCTAAGAATTTCAAATAAAAACAGGCAATGACTAAAACCTGGATGGCCTCTAATGATTGATGAGGTACTCACAGTGACGCGGGGTGGGCCGCAGACCCAGAGTTGGAAGGCCTGTCTGGGGTCCCAGGGTTCCATCCCACCATCAGAGATGTGCTTCTGGGACGGTTCTGGAGAAATGAGGCTCCCTGGCCCTTGGGGTGGGGGGCAGCCAGGCCCAGCAGGGTCCCTCCATGTACCAGGCCCAGCCTGCTCATAGACAGACACTCCTCCCTCCCAGCCTTCTGGAGAGCTGAGGGTGCCCCCTCCAGGCTGGCAGTCCAGGGCCCACCCAGGTGTCCTCAGTGAAGAGCATCGACGAGCTGTTCAGGGCACGCCCTGCGGCTCACAGCACCCCCACTTCCAGCCTCGGTTTCTCTAGCACAGGGAGAAGCCCTCCTCTGCAGGTAGGCCGTCCTGCAGGCCCGCGTTGGCCCACAGATGGAGCTTCTGTGTATGAGGGAGTGACGGTGGGCCCTGGTGCCGGTTTTGGTTCTAAGCCAACATTCAGCAAAACTCCTGGTCGTCCTGGAGGCACTTTCTCCAGCCTGGGCCGGGGTGGACCCCATTCATGGGCCTTCTTGTAACAGCTGGCGGTTTGCAGTGACACAGTGGGGAGTCACTGGTGCCATGTGGTCACTGCTGGCCGAAGTGCAGCTTTCCTACCCTCCACCAGGGTAACCCGTCACTCACAGCCCAGAACTGCACTGCGGGGTATTGCATAGGTAAAGGGGTTCCTGCAAGCCCACCTGCCGCCTCTACTTCATCTTGTCGCTGTGTGCCCCTGGCCCAGCCATCAGCCTCCCCTCCAGCCGGGTTCCCTGTGGAGCCATCCCATGCCCCTGGCTCTAGGTCTCGCCAACCAACCCGTTACTCTGTGAGTCCCCTGTGCCCGCAGTAGACACTCAGGCGAGTCCGCAGAGGCGGCAGGCCTGGCGGGCTCGCCGCCCCACCAGGGTGTGCTTCTCAAAAAGAACCAGATCTTAGGAGAAAAGATTTCCAAGCTGCC